CACAAAAAAAGAAGAGGTTCCCACTGCCAATGCCATATATTATGACACTTTCACATAATCCTTTCCCACTGCCAATGCCATACACACATAAATGGCAGTGAAACAACCCATTCAAATAAACTTGTATCCATTGAACAAAATTTGATAGCCAAACATTATGAAAGATTGTGATTGATTACAATACAATTACAAAACAAACCATTAAAAAAACCAACCATAATATCCAAAAGACATAACCATTGTATCTGAGTTCAACAAACACATCAACCACAACCATTGTCACAAAATATCCATTACTGACCCATACAAACACATCAACCACAACCACATCCACATGAAATTGTTTTTAGTTTCCAATATCTCTCAGAACTGACCCCTACTGATCCACTATGTCCCCACTAGTTGTAACCCAATATGTTCCCAAGATCTCTGGCTCAGACTGAGATTGCACCACATGCTTCTTCACCACTGGTCCTTTTGTTGTTGTAAAGCTAGCACCTTGAGTCAATGGATTTTTTTTCTTGGTCACCTATTAAATGGATAGTAAGATCATTAAAATATGTTGAAACAGACAGTGAAAATAACACACAATAAAAAAAATAGAATACATTACCTCAAGTTTTCTCCTCAAGCCCAATGTCTTGCTTTTTTGCCCCAAATCCTTTGTAGGTGTGAGACCTTTGGAGTGGCTTCTTGTTGACCTTGTAGGTGTAGCTACAGATTGAATTTGGCTTCTTGTCACCCTTGTAGGTGAAGTTACAACTGAAGGCCCTGCAGACTCACTCTTTTTTCTCATTGTAGGTGAAGATGCAGGTTGTGCTTGACTTCTTGTGAGTCTTGTAGATGCAGGCTGGCTTTGGCTTCTTGGTGAAGATGTAGGCTGCCTTTGGAATTTTGGTGAAGATGTAGGCTGGCTTTGGCTTCTTGGTGAAGATGCAGGTTGTGCTTGGCTTCTTGGTGAAGATGTAGACTGTGCTTGGCTTCTTGTGAGTCTTGTACATGCAGGTTGGGTTTGGCTTTTTGTGGATTTTTTGGTACAGATTCATGAACAAGTTCATGGGAATACCCATGACTTCTGGTGACCCTTGAAGGTATTATTGCCACTGATTCCTGTGTCTGAAGAACTTCAGTTTCCTTACCATGTGCTTTCATCTTCTTTCCCTTCATAACAAACAATGTACAATGTAACTATCCATTAAATGAATAAGAAAAAAAAAAAAGACACTTCAATGAAATAGTAGACACTAATGCACTGAAACTCAACCTGAAATATTTATATTTATATAAAACATTACCTTGGACACAACAGCCTCTTCATTAGGGACAGGTACTTCTCTCTCTGTAGAATCTTCAGCAGGGGCATACACTTCAGTTTCTCTCCCATGTGCTTTTCTCTTCCTCCCCTTCATAGAAAACAACAATGTACATGTGACTAAGCAATTTGTGATATATATATATATATATATATATATATATACACACACATAAACACTAACTGTAATACGAAATAAACCACAGACATGTGTAACTACTTGTGACATTACCTTGACCACAGAGATGTCCTCATTAGGGGCGCTCACTCTTTTTTCTTTCAAAGTTGCTTTCCTTTTTTTACCCTTCATAAAAAAAACAATGGTAAATATACCTATCCAAGTCAACATTTACAGAAATTACTATTTGTATAAAACACAAAAATAGAAACAAAAAATTTACAAATATTTAACAACTACCTCAGTTGCTGCACTCTTGTCAGTTCTTAATGGACAACATCTAATGTTGTGGCTGTCTTTGTTGCAAAGAGAACACTTCATAAGTCTCCCTTTTCTACTCAGCTTCACTTGAACTTGTTTTTTGGATTTTCCTATCTGAACCACTTCATGTGGCTGATTTTTTCTGGCATTGCCTTTTGGCCTTCCAGGCAGTCTCCCAACATATGGTGGGTTCAATGGCATTGCTTCCACACTTGGCCAGCACTCAGGAGGTTGAAGAGTGCCCATCATCTCAGAATAAGCTTTCAAAAACATTTCTTTGTGATACCAGTCAGTAACATAGTCATCTGGTTGAGTGCCCAACAAGAACATGCCACTTATTGCATGCTCACAGGGGATACCTGTGAGGTCCCACTTCCTACAAGTGCAGGTATGCTCCCCCATATGAACTCTAAATCTACTTGAGCTCCCCTCTACTTCACACTGGTCTTCCCAATTCCAGTGGCAAATATAACCCATTGACTTTTTCTTCAATTCCTCCAACAACTTCATGATTTTTGGGGACAAGTTCCCATGCAAATGTTTTCTCATTTGATCCCTTCTCATGTAGGTCCTCTTCATCAGGATAAGTCTTATTGTTTCCAACATAGAAACAATAGGTTTACTCCTTGCTCTCAGGATTAGTGAGTTGAAAGAATCACTCATGTTATTCAACTGCATATCACACTTGGAGTTACAACTATAGTGTGAGCTTGACCACTGATTTGCTGGTTTCTTAGCCAACCATTCAAAAGCTTCTTTGTCCCTCCCTTGCAGTTCTTTCATTGCAGCATGAAAGTCAACAACCCTTGTGGACCGGGCTGCTCTCCACAACAAATTTTTTAAGGCTAATCCCCTAAATGAGTTTCTAAAATTTCCATACAAGTGTTAGACACAAAACCTATGCTCAGAATCTGGCAATAGATTTTCAATTGCATCTACCAGCCCTTTTTGCTTGTCTGACATTATTGTCCACAAAAAAGAATTCTCAATCCCCAAATCCCCTTTCAACATGTCAACAAACCAATGCCATGTTTTTTTAGTTTCTTTTTCAACAACAGCATAGGCAAAAGGATACATACAGTTGTTTCCATCAACACCAACTGCAGTGAGTAGAACACCACCACAAGATGATTTAAGATGACAACCATCTAAGCAAATCACCTTTCTACAACCATTCAGCAACCCTCTTTTCAATGAACCCCAACAAATATAGATTCTTTTAAACAGTGGATCTCCATCAACAAGTTTACTTTTAATTACCACAGTGGTCCCAGGGTTGGTTTTTTTAATCTCTTCAGCATAAGACCAAAGCATGGCATATTGTTCACTGTCAGACCCCACACCAATCTTAGACACATATTTTTTAGCTTGGTACATGTGCCATCTTTTGAAAACTACCCCTACTTCCCTCTGCATTTCTGCCATCATTTCCTCTACAGGCCACTTAGGATTATCTAATATCTTGTGCTTGTAATTTTCAGCTATCCATTTTGGGTTAGCATGACTTACCTTTTGGTTTCTAGGACACTTATGCCTACCATTGTAAGTCTTAACCTGCACAGTGTTTTCATTTTGAAGTTTGGATGCATAAATAACCCAAGGGCATGACTTATTTTTGCATCTTGCTTGCACCTTATAGCTCATATTAATGGTAAAACACACATCCCTACCCTGTGCAATTGCAAAGTTCCTAACTGCCTTTCTAAACATGGCCAAGTCAGGAAATGTCATGCCCAATTCAAATTGAGGATTTTTCATGTCTTTGTTATGATCAAAAGTTGGATGGCCCAATTTTTTTTTCTGCTTACACTGGCTACCTACATATTCGGGGCCATAAGTTTCATCTCTATTTACCCCTCCCTAATCAATATCAGCATCTACATGACACTCAAACAACCTATCATCTTCATCATATAGATCACAATCACTCTCAACAAGTTCATCAGAAAACTCAGAGTCTGAACCAAAAGATTGGAGTTCAAAATCACTATCAGAGTCACTATCAGATTGGACTTCCAAATCATCACCCATATCATCAACATTCGTTTCTCCTCAATTATCAATCATATCATCTAAATCATCCCCATCATCCCCCACAAAAGGCAAGGTTCATCAACAGAAGGAAAATCAACAGAAGGCAAATCAACAGAAGGTTGAGTAGATATCCCTGTGCCCTCCATATGTTCAACATATAAACCGACCATTCTATTACTATCAACTCAATTAACAACATTTATAGCATCCATGTCATTTTGCAAGACAAACACAGACCGACATCATTTACATCATTTCTACTACAATGCACACACTTAACATCTTTTATCCCAATTTCAGAAGCCATACAGAATATTTCAATCAACGAGAGTTCATCAGGGTCGCAATAGTCAATGTGCCTTACCCTCATGTGCTCACCAGTGTAACAAGTGTCACCAAGTTCCAGAAATTGCCCACCATAATGAATTGAAATGGTAAACAATTGTGAACTGGGACCTGAAGGGACAAGAATATTATAATTTTTAGATTAAAAAAAATGATTATAATACTCAACTAATCCATGGACTGTCGGCAAGTTCAAAAAGTTTGTCTCCACATGAGAAATGAGAAGGCATAATCACAAACATACTACCAATATAAATAGATTGCGTCAAATTCGACAAGAAAAAACAAAAAAAAAAGTTAGGGTTCGAAAAACAAACTGTAATCGGGGCACAGTCTTCTAGGAGGAAGATTCTCATTGTCGTCGCGTACCTTCCAGCCCATCAAGATCGCGATCAAGTTTGATTCACAATTTCTATGTTTAAATCGAAGGAAAGTTTGAGATTGGGTGTCGCGATTGAAAATCGCAGAGGCAAGAACCCTAGGTTTCTGAGTTTTTGATTTGGGGATTTTGTGAACTTTGAAAATTATTTGCTTTAGGGTTAATAACTTTTTCCCATCCAAACTATCACGATTTTGGCGCTTTACCATATAATTTTTTTTTTTTTTTGGCAAACCACCATATAAACTACTTGTTTTTTTCGCTTTACCCTCCAAAACCGTATTTAAAGTAGTTTTATAGCAAAAAAGTTGATTTGCAAGGACATTTTTGGAATTGCAAATTTTTAAAATATTGCAAATATACCCAAAGAACGAAATGATAATTTATAAACTATTCAAATGTAACAATTAACTCCACTTCTTTGTCAAATTCTCAATAAGTAGCCCATCTTTTATTCATTTTCATTTTTTAATAAAAAAAAAAAATTCAGAGATCTGCAAACACGCCTTCATCGACTAACCCTCAATACCATTGACAAACCCTTGCTGCTGAACCTCAACCGTACAAAACTCCTCAGAAGGTCGACCACAATCCCACTCGCTGCCCCAATTCAAGTCTTCCTCTAGCACAACCTTAAACCCTAGTATCTGAGCCCTCCTCCAGCCCAATCGCAAGCCGCAGCTCTCCGGCGAGACTCCCTGCGCCGTGGTCATCACCTCAGGCAAAGCGGAAAGACCACTACCACTGCAAACATCGGCCTCTCCCTCGCGTGCCTCAGCTTCTTTGTCGTCGCCATTGATGCAAAGTCGCAAACGTCGACCTCCGCAACCTCGACCTGCTCATCGACCTCGAGAACCCCATCAAATACACAGTCTTCGAGGTCCTCAATGGCGATGAGCCAATGCTTGGAGAAGACGAATTTGGATCAAGAGGATTCGGGTTTTCTTTTTCAATTTCCCCAATTTTGGCTCGACCACGCGAGGGCGGCGACGAATTCGTTTGGCCGGAATAATTTGTGCTCAAGGTAATTCTCGTCTAACCTGATCACGTGCTCGAGCCCGAAAATCAGAGTTATTGAGAAGGACACCGGAGTGCAGGAAGCCCAGGCAACTGACGGAGAAGTAGAGAAGGGGTGCAGGAGTTCTACAAACTCGAGTAGTTCAGATGGTGGTTTGCCAAAATAAAAAGTTTATATGGTAAAGCGCCAAAATCGTGATAGTTCGGATGGAAAAAAGTTATTAACCCTTTGCTTTACTCTGTGGGATACCGAACAGTCACACACTTCAATTGGCGACCTTACCCTCAAGTTTCGAGCGTGCGAGTCGCACGCTCGCTTTTCCGGTGGAATATGGACTCCGATAGCCGTTAGGTTGCGATACAGACAAAACGTGTATTAAAGGTTGCAAATAATTAAAAAAAAAAAAAACTTTAGGTTGCAAATGCCAAAAACGCGTATAGTACAGGATGCAAAAAATTATTTACCCTATCACATATTGCTTCAATCTTCAGACCTTTTCCCACAATCTATTTGTTGGTGCCCATAAAGTTGTTCTAGCACCTCCAAATTAAGTTCTTTAGTTTGTTTTTATAGGCAGACTCCAAGTGAATTTCCACATCTTCTTCATCTGATTCTTGGAGTTGCTACTTTCAGCTGAATCTTGCAACATCAATCTCTTTAACCTATGAATATCCTAAGCAGACTTCACAAAATGCTCCCCATTTTTAGTCCAGTGCCAAATAAGCTTATCTCTAAGTCCTTCTTGGCTTATAGGTATTATGATCCTTGGCTTTTTATCCATACATTTCGATCACAAATCGGGTATCTTGATTATCCTCAAATACAAATAAAATATTTCTTATGTACAATACTTTCTCCGTTGATCAATTATCAATGAATCAATTATCATAAATTAATAAACTATATCTCAATTTATTCTTCTCTATTTAATAACTTAAATTAATTTTGAAATTCGATTCTAATTTTATTATTAATTGAATTACGAATCTTTTATGTCATTTTGGATTTTTCATATTTAGGATAAAAAAAATATTATATGGTGTATTAAAGTGAAAAAAAAAATATTTGGGAGGTTAAAGAATCTTTTACCTAAAAAAAGTTGGATAGTGAAAATAACTTATATTGAAATCTCCCTATATATTAATTCAAAACGTGTTGAGTCTAAGTAACAGGCTCGCATGCTTTGGAATCCTATGTGGCAAAATTACATGCTTTGTTATTAGGCTTGGATAGATTTTAATCTACTTCCCATCCAAAAATAATTAGGTCCGGATTATCCATAAATATGTTGATTATTTATGGTCATGTTACATGTATTAGTTGCATTTTTATATCATTTCTTATTATAACTATTGAATTGTAAATGTATTTTAAAAATTAATAACTTTTGTATTTTTTATCAGTTTTACATATATAATATATCAAATTAATCATCTCTTGATGAGTTTCGATTTAACATCCATATTGTATGTATAAATAAAATAAATTATATTTATATTTATAACAATATTAAAATTATTTTTAATATTAATTAAAAAAATAAAATTATATCAATTAATATATTTATATTTCAAGTAGTTGTATGATATAGGTTATAAAAATTACTATAATATAACACATGTAAGTCGCAGAAGTAACAAATGTTATTCTAAAATATATAATAATATATAATTTTTTGTAAAAAAATAAATAAAATTTAAAATAATTTTTTTTATTAATTTTAAAATTTAAGAATAATTTTTTAATAAACACTATGTAATATACGGATGTTGTACTATTGAAATGTTTATTTTCCCAACTGGGCAAAAAATGCCAACTTGTCAAGCGGTCACCTGTGCTTATAGGTCATTGGTCAATAAAGTAATGTAACATAAAGATATCGTGCACCGCCACGCACATGATCACTTATTACAAGGCGCTACCAATCTTCTCTTCTCCATTTCGCCATACATCTGAAGTTCGCAATTGATTCAGGTGAGCTTCTATCGGTGGTTGCTGCACAATCCAGAAACCTAAAATCCATCTCTCTTTCATTTTTCATTTTTAATGGATTTTAAGGGATTTCAGGTTTTTATATTTCTCTTTCGATTTCTTTCCCCTGTTTCCTTTTGTTTAATTTGACAAAATTAGAACTAAATAATCTGCATATTTCAGTTTTTTTTTCCTTTTTTTTTGAATTCTTGTTTTTGGGAGCTTTGACGATGGTTTTGAATTTTCATTTCTTATTTATAAAAGATACACTTGGGTCAGTTGGTGCAGTTTTTCTTATTGAGTGATCTTCGACGATACTGAAGTCGCAAAAATTAGTGCGGGAAAATGCAGGTTAGTGTCGTTATTCTCGTTGTTTTCCCCTCATTTTTTTTTTGTTTTTTTTTTCTGACTGCAAATATTCAGTTATTTTCTCGACAAAAGTGGAAGAGTTTCTTAGAATTTGTTGTTTCTGAGAGGTACTTTGTCACCTGTATGGAACTTATGCTTTTCTTAATTGGGGTTTACCCCTTTGCAGAACGAAGCTTCTATAGTGATTTCATGGTGTCATTACCTTTAGTAATGGAAATTGCTGCTGTTAGACATGATATGGAGAAAAAGAGAAGTTTATGCTCTATATTTTTATCCTGGAAGGAATAAAATGAAATAGTATATTGTTTATTCATCCAAGATCTAGCATAAATATCTGAAAGTGAATTATATTTTGTATAAAGTGATAAAACCTTAATCCTTAGACGTATTTATAGTTTTAAGGTTATGATGCATGGTAACCAAGAATGAGCAGAAGGAACATACTGCAATGAATTTAGACTTGTAAGACGGGTAACAGTTTAAGAAGTGAACTCACCGAAAATTGAATTAGAAGCAGACCTCATAGCATATTCTTTAATTTATATTAAACATACAGTCATGTGGTAGCTTGTGAAATGGGCTTCTGTCTGTGGAATATCTTTTGTTTAGTTTCTAATGCTTGATACGTTGGAATCGGTCATCTACTTTTCAATAGACATCAAGAGCAAGACTTTTCAAGGAATACAAAGAAGTGCAGAGAGAGAAAGTAGCTGATCCTGATATTCAACTTGTTTGCGATGATACAAACATATTTAAGTGGACGGCTCTTATAAAGGTAAGTCTCTCATTTATCTCGTATGATTTCCTTGAGTCATTTTCGGGAAACTACCTAATTAGAAGGGTTGTCTAATGATATATACTCTGCAGGGGCCTTCAGAGACTCCTTTTGAAGGTGGAGTTTTCCAGCTTGCCTTTTCTGTTCCTGAGCAGTATCCTATGCAACCTCCTCAAGTTCGGTTCTTAACCAAAATATTTCATCCAAATGTACATTTCAAGGTAATTGGCGCATTTCCTAATAATATTTTGTTAGATTTCCTGATACTTCTTTGTCCTTTCTCTTTTACTCATTTTAGCAACAAACCTTGTGAAGAGCACAAATGGGATGTGAAGGTTTTTGATGTATTGAACAAGTTGTTTGTTGGATGAATAGTATCAATGTATAAATTAGTATTTCATTGTGCACACATATCATTGATGGAACTAGGTATAACATGGGAATTGTTAATATAGACTGTTTGATGAGAACTGAATTGAAATTTGCTCGAGGATGTGTTTGTTTGTGAACTGGTAGCTCACTTCCTAGGCATCTCACTTTTAGCTGTGGTAAATCTTTGTATGGCTTTAAAATGGGTAATATTTTTTATCTGAAAATATCAAAATGGGTTTTGATGCTACTGAACTTGCTATTAGTATTAGTATGTCTTGTGAACTTAGGGATGTTGGCTTTTATGGAGGATAGTAATATATTTTAAAGGGTAAATAATTTTTTCCAACCTGTACTATACGTGTTTTTGGGATTTTCAACCTAAAGTATTTTTTTTTTGTAAAATGCAACCTGAACTACATATATACAATTATTTGCACGCTCGACTACTTTTTGACCGTCCGATCATCCGCAAAAAAGGACACGTGTATGGTCAAGATGTGGTCGAGCGTGCAAATAGTGACTGTATATATAGTTCAGGTTGCATTTTACAACAAAAAATATTTTAGGTTGAAAATCTCAAAATCACGTATAGTACAGGTTGGAAAAAATTATTTACCCTATTTTAAATGGTCGCATATTTGTATGCACTTGGTGGTCAAGCACACAAGCCAAGGAGAACAGATTAACTTGTGAAACTTATGAAAATGATGAAGAAAGTCCTGAATTAAGTTCTGTAGAACATCTTGTTGATTTTCTTTATTTGAGGCTTCTGCAAACTATTGATGGCTCCCTTGTATTTCTTTCAGAGTTTGTTTTCAGTAGTTCAATTATGAAACACTTTTGTTGGGATCTTGAAATGGTTCATTTGATGATATTAGTTACTGACTCTACGATTCCATTTTATTCAGACGGGTGAGATTTGCCTAGATATCTTGAAGAATGCTTGGAGCCCGGCTTGGACCCTGCAATCTGTTTGCAGGGCTATAATTGCACTGATGGCTCATCCAGAGCCTGACAGTCCACTAAATTGTGATTCAGGTACAGTTTAGTAGCTTATTTTTTAAAATAATAATTCTTCAAACTTTAATTAAAATTCTCCCAATTGCAGGGAAAAATTAACAGAAAAAAAAAAGTAACCAATGGAGTCGCATGATTTTAAACATATGGCAATGATATGCAATTTCACTCTGCTTCTTGCATTCGTNAAGGAAATAGTGCTACTTAACGTATTTCTATTGAAATTGATCTTTGGTATTTTGGGCTAGGCAATCTTCTCCGATCCGGGGATATCAGAGGATATCAATCCATGGCCAGGATGTATACCAAACTAGCAGCCATACCCAAGAAGGGGTGAAAATTTATTCGATTATTTTGCCCAAAAAGTGTCTGAATGTAACCAGGTTTTCAAATGTGCCTTGTGCTCGTGGATATGTATTATGTGCTCGCATATATTCCTCATTGACCAATGCAACTGGTCAGTCAATTTGTTCGAACTTTCACCTGTATGTGCCCTTACAATACAGTGGATTGATGTCTTCAATAGTTGTTTGAAGTTAATTCATGTTGTTTTGTGTGTGTGCGTGTACCAATTTAACTGTTGAAAACTGCGTATTCTACATAAAGATTGAGAAAGATGAGCTTATTTTGCTGTTAGCTGTCAAAGTGTAAAACATGTCATGTGATGCCCAATCTCCTCTTCAGTTACCCGCTGAAAAATAAGAAAATTAGTCAGAACTCACAAAGCAAAAACAGCATGTTCATTATATATTTTTTATTATCGGATTTTGTGTTAATTGATATTCATGTTTACCCTAAATTACTGATATTTATGAACTTTAGATAATAAAAAAAATATATGTAAATTATTTTGTTGAGAAGACTGAAGACTGGGAGCAATTTGAAACCAAAAGTTCACATATATTTGGAAAACTTGGGCCGTGCTTGTTTATAAAAAATTAGAAAAAAAATTAGTTTTTTCTAGTTTTTTGTGTTAATTAAAGTTTATTTGAAAAAAATGAAACGATAGATTATAATTAATAACACACAAATATTTACAAACTAGCACAGCCGAACAGTTGAATCAAACAGCTACTAAACTGAACCAGTGGAGGACTACCCCGGCAGTACAACTACTCCCAGGCATCCTACAAAAACTAAACACAAAACTAAAACTCCCACTAGTAGAGAATAACACTCCATCAAACACACCACAAAACAACACAACAACACACACCTAAACTAACAATAAAATACAACCTCCCATGCAACTCGCGAGTACACCGCTACAACCACACTAACCAGCACACAAGACAAATCCCGCAACGAGCCAAACACCACAATTAAAAACAAAAGAGAACTTCATATCTAAGTCCCAGAACTAAAAAACTCCGACTTACTCAAGTGGCTAGTCAGATCTGACAAGGAGACAAGTCTCAGCCTAGATCTGAGCTTCCCCAATCTTCTATCGGGAGGGAAACGGACCATTTGGGAGTTGACCCGACGAGCCTCGCCTTAGGAGCCGACGTTTTCACCAATTGGGGGTCCAGTCGGACCCAGATCTGACGAGCGGAAGGCATGGCGGACACCATCGACTCGACTCGACGTTGGAAATCGGCAGCTGCAAGATGGTGCCCGGCGAGAAGATGGGGGGGGAGACTCAATATCTTTTTCTGCTCTGGTTTTTGGCTGAAGGGAAGAGAGAGAGAGACTCTCGTTAGAGAGAAAGGGCGATAACTTATTTTTCCTTAGTATTGTTAGTTGTTAGTGGTATTTTAAGAATATATTAAAATTATATTTAAAATAAAATAATTAAACTTAATTTGATGTAAAAATCGGAGATAAATGATTGAAAATAATGTTAAAATTATATTAGTGGATAAATAGTGAATCAGAGTTGATGTGATGTGTAATAATGATTGAATGATATTATTTAAATATATTGATAATATTAAAGGTAATGAAGTTGAATTAGATTTTGAATTGAGATAGATTTATTTTAGTTTTTTTTTTCCTAGAAATTTGATAAACAATGGCGATTGAAAATGTCCATGTTTTTGTCTAGTCGAAATTTGTTTTGTTGAAACTATCAAGGAAACTAAATAAAAAATTACTAAAAAGTTTATTCGTTTCATCTTTTATTTCAATACGTAAACATTATTTATGTTTTGCTCAATATGCATTATCAGCTTTATTATGATGGCTTGCTCAATATGCATTATCAGCTTTATTATGAAGCCATCGAATTATATATTTTATACAGCCATTAATAAGTATCCACAATATTGACGTGTAAAATAAATATTTGGAATGTGTGTTTAATATATAAAGATTATCTTCATAGAATTTTATATGCAAGCTAAGGCTAAAACAACTCTCTCTGCCCCAAGCTCCCCTCTCCAGAAAAACTTAAATGACTGAGCAAGTGTGCCTTCCCCTAGCAGGGCCTCTGGGACACACGGCGGTGCCGTGTGGCTGACTTTCGAAGGCTTGTCGGACTTGGGGACTTCCTCTTCTCGGGTGAGGCAGGATTCCCCCAATTTGGGTTTTGCCTCCATTTAGGTCGCCAAGGAGGGTTAAGGCCCAGAGGTTCCCCGGCGTTTGGGCAGCGGCGAGTTTCTGGCGAGTCTGCGAGACATGGTTGTGGGTTCGATCATCACCTTGGTGGTGGTCGGGGCTGAGATCGGGTCTATGTCGCTTCCCTTCTCCCGTTTTTCTCTAGTTTTGGGCCGCTGGGTTGAGTTGGTGGAGTCGAGTCGGGGTCGGGTCTCATGTCCTGGGCCCGAGTTGTTGTGGTTGGGGAGGTGGAGTATGTTGTGGATCTTTAATTGTGGGTCTAGAGATTGTCAACCCGAGTGAGGGGCAAAGTCTTTTAATCTCAGATCTATTTAATCGTTTATTCTGCAATTTCTGGCTTTACGACTTGGACCGAGTCTCTGTCCGTGTGGATGGTCGCCTCAAAAACGTTTTTGTTCAGTTTGGCACCACTGTTGTGGGAAGGATTTTGTGTTTTTGTTGTGTTGT